AAACTTGTCAGACCTTATTTGTATGCCTCTCTTGTCTTCCTTCAGAGCCTCTACCTTTTGCGTTCCTGATTTGTAATTAAAAACCTACATGTGTCCTACAGACTCTGGGAGCAATTTCCAGGTCCAAGGCAAACCACAGCCACATTTCAGATTCCTGCTGGTGCAGGGCTTGTACACACACATCCACCCCCTTCCGTCCAAATGCTGTTTTCCATCCAATCAACCAGCTCAGGTCTTGGTCCACGCAGAAGCTGTGGAATGTTCTGGCAGGTGAAAATATTGATGATGGGTGAACCTAAGTCCAAAGGTACTGTCTAGATACAGGGAATATCTGCACTATGTACTCCCTTGGGGACTGTGGAGACCACCCTCAAGGGTTTCAAGGTCAAATCATCAGTGCGAGGCCTTCCTGAAGAGACTCAAACAGCTCAGTATTTATCAATGACCTGGAAGAGAGAGTCTTTAGAGATAAGAATTAAAGAGGATATAAAATGCAGCAGGAAGACAAATGTCACCAAGGCAGCATGAATCACTTAGTGGGCTGAATTTGTTCCAGTAGTCTGAATTTTGGTACAATGAAATGGAGATCCGATTCATATCCAGGAACAAAGGCATGTACACAAGTTGGGATTGCTGTAGAGAGCATGGATTAGAAAAGCATGGTGGGATCAGAAGGAAGCCTTCTGAACTCGAAGTTGCTAAAGATGAGAATGACAAAGAGCAACACACACTGGCTTCATGTTCATGTGGGACTGTGCATCGCTTTAATAAAAGTACCAGTGTGCTCAACGTCCACTTCCAGGGTCACACATAATGAAAACATGGAAAGAATCCAAGAAAGAGGTATGAAAGTTAGTGGAACTCTGAAAAAAACCCAACAAAACCCCCTGCACCTTGTTTTCTAATGAAAGGTTTAATGAAAAGCACTTTGAATAGTTGACACAAGTCTGGAAGTACCCAGCAGAAGAGAATATATTTGAGACTAGAGAGCTCTTTAATCTGGCGATCAAAGGTGTAACAAGATCTGGTGGCTGGAAGCTGAAATTAGACAAATTCAACCTGAAAAGGAGACACATTCCAACAGTGAAGTGAATTAGCCATTAAACAACATCCAGAGGAGATGGTTGATTCTTCCTCACTCGGAGTTTTTTTACTTGAAATTGGATGTCTTTCTAAAAAAGCTGCCCTAACTCAGCCAGAAATTATAGGTTTGACACAGGAATCACTTGGTAAAACTATCTGGCCTTGTGATGAAGAAGGACAGAGTAGCCTTTCTGGCCTCAGCATCAATAATCCATGACATCCTGTCACGAAGACATTTGCTCATCTTGATCTACATGACTTCAAAGCCACATGAACATGTGTAGCTGTGCTTGAGTTACCTTGAGGTATTTACAGATTACTCCATTGCATGCATCAAGTTCTCTTTCAATTCCATGCTTGTCTGTATGATCCAGACACATCTCCTGCTACTCTCTGTTCATCTCTTCTCCAGGATTTCAACTTCCTACTTGCCTCTTTGGCACAAAATCACCCCCCTCAGCAGAGTTAACCCACTTCCCCTGCTTCAAGGAGACTCAGCACAATGAGAGGCAGCCATCCTAAGTCATCCCTGTGCTGAGCACAGCAGCAACTCATTGCACGCTCCCAGAAGGGTTGTTGATTGACATCCTATCTTTGGGAAGCAGCAGTAGGACAGTGGTGAACATGCTGGTACTGCCACAGGATGCTTGTGATGGGGACATGCATCCCGCTTTGGCTGATTTAGGGTGTAGAGTCAGTGCTGGTGGGAGGCTGGGTCACTCCCACTGGAATGGGGCAAACCCACCCCTGCTCAGGCTTGGTAGCTGCACAGAGGTGACTGAGTGCTGACACGGTGGGAGCCTGCACCTTTGTCCTTGGCATGGTCCAGAAGAGTGGGTGCAAGCTTTGCTCACCTCCCTGCTTCCAATATTGCTTATACTTTGATTTGCATAATCCAGTACAATAAACAATACATTCAGATGAGACTAAATGAGGGGGAAAAGAGGAAAACACAAACATATTTACCTAGTCTAATGAGCAGCACACTGATCAGACACGAGCTGCCACCTGGACTCCTGAAGGGCATAGCCTGGTGCTTGGTGTGAATGCTGGGAGGGGAAAAGCGGGGAAGAAAATCAACGTGGTGTGGGGGAAAAGCAGAATCTCTTTCTCCAGGGTGAGGCACATTGTGTCTCCCCAGCTCGAAAGGGTCATCCATGCTAGTAATGCCTCCTGGTCTGATCCCATGCCTGGTCACTGTGGGATGAGGAATACCTGAGTGCTGTGCAGTTGCTGGAGGGGTGCCCCTGGCTACTGCCTGGTGGCATTCACTTCTGCAGAAGCTGAGCCCCGGGGTGGGAGCTGCAGGAAGGATGTGGGGATGGGGATGGAGGTGGTCAGAGAGGCCTGAACCTGCAAAGCAGCCTGGTTGGGTACTTATCTCTTTTCCTGCTTCCCAGGCTTGAGAAGGTGCTACAGGCAGGTCCTGGCAGCAGTGCTGGGAACCGAAATGACTCTGAAGTGAGAAACAACACATGTTTGCAAGCAGAGAGTGTGTTTGAAAGAAGAGATCAGGGAATTGGCACGTGTTGCTGCTCTGTCCCTGAAATCCTAGGTTACAGGATTTTATGGGATTTTGAGAGGTTTTGGGTTTCTTTCAATTAAATGGCTTTAAAAAAAACAAACCTCATTTCACTTTGGATTTAGTATAACATTTCATTCCACCCCAAATGAAGTTTTCAAGGCTTTGTATGAGAAAGAGCTCTAAAGACTGGCTTTAGCCAAAGGGGTGCGTTTTCTTTTGCCTTGGCTTAGAAAACTTTAAGTACAAGATGACCGTACTGGTGCTCTCTGCAGCACCACCGCTCCTGACATGTGCCAGGCAGGAGGCATGGATGTGGCGCCAGCCCCATGCTTTCAGCAGGGACTTGGCTGCTTTCACGTGCTCCTTGCACAGGTAATAAGAGCCCTGGCAGAAGGCAACCTGCTGCCCGCTACTGAAGTGCCTAATAAGGTGTATGTTTTATAAGGGAGACGGTTTTAATGGGGTTTAGTGGATCTAAGAGTCTCCACTGTGCCATAAATTCCTGAGACAAGCTTTTGGTGTCATATTGCTTCTTGTTATAATGAAGGGGATTTGAATAGGATGTAATGTAGTTGGGAGCTAAGCTATGGCAGCAATTTATCACGAGAACCTGCTGCAGCGCTCGGGAAAATGAAAGCTTTTTTAGATATAGATACAGATGGATTGGAAATGGACTTGCTTCTCACACAGGAGGCTCCTTTATCACCAATAATATCAGGACAAATACTGCTTTGCACTTGGCACTGTCTCTAATTGCATTAACATATCAGTTGTGAGTGGTAATGCTCCTAGCCAGAAACTCATCACCAGTAGAGCCTCTGGCATACGAAGAAGGGTGCCAGCTGCTTGTAGGTGTGAATATTGTCATAAATGGGATTTCATAAGCAGAAGTAAAAGATCCACTCATATTTCCTTCTACAGTAAATGAAGCAGGTCCTTGCTTTGTAGCTCCTTGCTTTTATAGCTCCTTGCTTGCCTTTCCTACCTGGAAGCATGTACCTGGATGTGGACAGAGATAAGCAAACCATCAGGCCAAAAAAGGAAAGGCTGACCCCTCAGGGACAACATAGAATCATAGAATAGTTAGGGTTGGAAAGGACCTTAAAGCTCATCCAGTTCCATCCCCCCCTGCCATGGGCAGGGACACCTCACACTAAAGCATGTCACCCAAGGCTCTGTCCAACCTGGCCTTGAACACAGCCAGGGATGGAGCATTACAGCTTCCTTGGGCAGCCCATTCCAGTGCCTTGCCACTCTCACAGTAAAGAACTTCTTCATTATATCCAATCTAAACATCTCCTATGAGTTCTCAGAATAAGCATTTTGCTTTTGTATTGCTCTGCTATCCTTCTGCAGTAGGACAATGTGTGTCTAATCTTGGCACAATAAAGAGTATAAAGCACTGGCGACTAAGTCAGGGAAAGAACCTAAAAAGATCCTTAAAATAAAGCACTGGGGCAAAGCATGGTGCTAATGCTCTCTCAGCCCTGTTACCTCCCTGCCTGGGATAGCTGGAAGGGACCTACACAAGACAATGCCCTGCCACCCATCTGCAGGCAGAGCTTCTCTCCCAGACCCAAGAATGCCGCTGCTGTCCCAGTACTGCAGGGAAAAGGCAGTTTCTACATCCTGAGTGTCATGGCCCTAGGGGCACTAGTAGGCTTTAATTGCCCCATCAGCCCCACCTGGGCTCCCCACGCACCCATCCAGCAGCTCCGTTTAAATTCAGGCCTGAGCACTCAGCTCTGTTTGCAGCTCTGGTTAGTATTCTTGGCTGAGCCCTGGACTTGATCTGTCACCTCAACCTCTCTAGGACTGCTAATGGACCTGTCTTTGTCCCCAGCCTAGTCCCATTCTGTTACCTGGGGATGTGCCAGTCCCTGGATGCTACTCTGCTGCTGGCTTCCGCCTTGCTCAGGAGCAGCCCTATTCTTGCTGCTTTTCACTGTGAGGACCACCTCCAGGGCAACCAAGGAAGCTCCTGCAATGCATGGAGAGCTTGAGCAGAGCACTGGTAAGTGTCTTCCAGCTCCTTCAGGAAGAATCTTAGAATAGCTTGCTGGAAGGAATATTAAAGCTCATCCGGTTCCAACCCCCTGTTGCAGGCAGGAACACCTTCCACTCAAGCAGGTTGCTCCAAGCTCCATCCAAAGAGGCAGGGTATATCCTGAAGGGGCAGTGAGGCAGAGGAAGAAAGCACAACTGTACCTTCAGTGCCTGTCTCAAACCGTAGAATCATGGAACAGTTTGGGTGTGAAGAGACTTTCAAAGGCCATCTGGTCCAACTGTGTATCTCAGGGTTTGTTCAAGTGCCTTGGATGAGTTAGAGTGCCTTGAGTGCTCAGGCTTACAGGTGTATTTAAAACCTTCACTAATTATTAAACATTTAGTTGAATGTTGAAGATGTGAAGTAATGAAGAGCTACGGGAGGGGAGCTCAATGTTTTGGATTAATCAACAGTTTTCTCTGGTGCTCACTCTTACCCTGGAAGCTGATAACAGAGCTGCCAGGAGGGTTTAGGATGAAGCAGACCTCATGGCTGCTGCTGGCTCTTGCCTTACCACAGCAACAGCCCTGGTGTAAGAGGTGGTGTTGGTTTAACTGGTCATCTGCCAATAGCAAACATCATAAACACCACCGCAGGGTTTTCTCTGGGGGCACTGGATTTTCTGACTGCTGAGCCCCCAGGGACAGCACTGCCCACACAGAGAATCACAGAATCACTTACATTGGAACAGACCTTTAAGATCAAGTCCAACTGTTCCCCAGCACTGCCAAGGCCATTGCTAACCCATGGCACTGAGGCCTCGTCTACACAGTTTGTGAGCACTTGCAGGGACGGTGCCTGCAGCCCTGCCCTGGGCAGCCTGTTCCAATGCCTGAGCACCCTCTGGGCAAGGAATTGTTCCTCAGCTCCATCTAAACCTGCCCTGGTGCAGCTTGAGGCCATTTCCTCTTGTCCCATCTCTTGTTCCTTGGGAGCAGAGCCCAGCCCCTCCTGGCTCCATCCTCCTGTCAGGCACTTGTAGGGAGTGATCAGGTCCCCCCTGAGCCTTCTCTTCTCCAAGCTAAACCCCCTGTCCCAGGTCCCTCAACTGTTCTTCATCACACTTGCGCTCCAAACCCTGCACCAGCTAACAAACAGAAGTGACTTCCTAAGGGGAGCAGCCCATTGCCCAGAATACATCCTTCCTGACAGGGCCTGTGATCTCCATTTGCCTGATGCTTTTTCTTGCTCTCAGTGTAACTCTGCAGCATGATTGCTGGGAATACAGCACTGGGTGGCCACGATGGGTGAGAGGAGCTTCTGGGCTTGCTTTACCACCCAGTTTCAGGGTTCTCTGCGCTTTCTGATGATACCTGCAGGCACTGCTGTAGCTGGCAACGGAAATCATTGGAAAAGTAGGAAAGGCCACCTTGCTGTGTAGAAACAGGCTGTAGAGGAGAGCCTAAATCCTCCAGGGTAAGCTTGCTCCATCCCTCAGAGGGTGCAACCACAAGCTGTACTTGGGGACTGAACCCTGGAAGCATATTGTGGCCAAAACCAGTCCTGTGGGTACCTGTGGTCAACCCTGTGGGGATCCTGCCTGTGCTCGTCACAGACCCTGCATATGAGAGGATCACACACCAGTGCTTTCACAAGGAGGCAAAAATCATTCCCAAGCATTTCTCATGCACTTGTGCTCATTCCTGGTTAAATATGATTGACCCCCTCCCAGTTTTTGGAGGTATAAGAGGGCTGCTTCCAGTATTTAGGCTGTGCTTTGGTGGGATGGGGAAAGACCCAGATCTGTTCTGTTGCTGCCTGTGGGGGCTCCTAAGTGTCAGCTGCTGAGGGATGTAAATGCTGAATACATCAGGTTATTCAGAATTTGGCTTATCCTCTTTTGATCTCATATTTGTGTCTTTTTTCAGGGCTATGGATCTGTTTATGCACCCCACCCCCTTCACTTCTCTTTTACTTTCTCCTTATAACTCTAATCATTCCTTTTAGCTTCTAAAGATAGGATAATGTTGTGATAAGAAGAAAAGTAATTTTGCAGTGTGACCTAAAAATGGGCATGTTTGGAGTCAGTCAGTTCTTGGAATGCAGCTTCAGAATTAGGCACAACTTCCAAAACTCCAAATCTGGACTTTTCTTGCGCTGTGCGGAGGGCTAGGTAACCCTTGAGACAGTGCCTGCTCCTCCCCTGCCATGAATGCTTGGCGCTGAGGCATTGTCTGGAGTCCAGGATCAAATAGGAAGGGTGGGGTGGAAGTCTAACATGCTTATGTTGGCTTTGATTGCTTTAAGAAGTGTCATGGCAACAGTGCTAGCTGGATAATTAATATTGCACACAGGATTATAGTGCAGGAATAGAAGACAGTGCTTTAAATGTATAAAATTGCCCTTCTGTGTGAGCTTGCTTTCCCAGCTGGGTGGGGACAGCTTTATTTTGGGATCAGCAGAGCCCTGGGAAAGGTCAGAGGACCTATATCCAGCGCCTTAGCTGACCCTATTTCTAGCACAAGGTTTGGCTTGTGGACACAGCCATCAAGCCTGTTGGAGAGGAGCAGGGCACCGCTACGTGCAGCGGGTCCTGAGATCCCAGCCAGCAGCAAAGACAGTGGGCAGCCAAAGCAAACAGGCTCTCTGGGATGCATCCTGCAAACCAGGAGCTGCAGGTGAGGGGACATGTGCAGGTGATGGAAGCAAGCCTGGTGTGGTTTTGCCTTGCTCACAGACTGACAGTAGATCCCTAGGAGTGGGGGGAAGCTCTGATGGGTGGCAGGATGGGGGCATGATGAGGAGCCCCTCCAACAACTGCTCCTTACCTCAGTGGTCTATGTGGGAGTCCTGCTCCATTCTTGCAGACCAAATCCATGAGCAGGGGCAGGCACAAGGCAGTTCTTCCAGCAGGGAGAAGTGGATGTCATAAAAGAGCCGAAACGAAACCAGCCCTGGGCCATGGTGTCTGTGCAGGCACCTTGTTCTGCTCCAACAGCCTCCCAGTTTGCCTTTATGTTTGACTGCTGCTTGTCCTTGCTCCTGGCCAGCCCATCCTGACCTCTGGATGCTTCCTCCAGATGAAGGTATTTGGTTATTCTGGACAAAGCAGCCATTTCGGTTCTCTTCCAAACTAAGCAGAGAGCAGGAGCAAGGATGAGGAAAGAGTTGGATTTCCTCTCTGGGGCCCAGCCAAAGCCTTTAACCAAAGATATAACAAAATGCCCGCAGTGAAGTGTGAACAGGCAGAAGGAGCTGCTCTGCTCTTCATTAAGGCAGTGTAGGTGTTGGCTTATATAGGAAAGTCAACCTACTATTGCTGTGGGGAGCTGTTAACTTGAATAGCAGTGGCCTGTTACAAGTGAAGTGGTACTATTCGGGCCTGAAAGGAGGAATGTTAGCTATTGTAATTGCAACTGCAGTAATGAGAAGCTTGGGAGTGGGGCTGATAAGCAGCTAGATAATAGACTAATGAGCAGGATGGCTATAGTCTGTCAAAGGAGTAGCTAAGGTATCTGCAGGACCCCTATGGTATTGTACCAGAAGGAAGTGTGGACGAGGAAACAGCCAAATATAGCTTCTAAAAGATGTATAGGATGAACTGAGCACTTAATGCTGATAATAATTGGAGCTTGAGGGTGTGCTTAGTGTATGAATAAAGTAATTAACCAATTAAAAATGCACAAGAGACACATGATAGAAAATGATAACCAACAGGAAAATGATTGATGCCCTGTACAGGGAGCTGGAACATTCAATGTGTGTTATTAGGAGAGATGCCTGGGCTCTTCAGATATGGGCATGTGTAGACCCACTGGGTGCTCTTTGATCACTGGTCTACAGTGTTGTACTTGCCAACTGCTGTGCTGCCTGTGTGATAAATTGCCTGGAATTAATTCAACCCCCTTGTTTGCAAGAAGAAGGCTCTGGGAAATGTGTGGAATCCATATTGGCTGGCTTTGAAATGACCAAGCATGTGGCAGGGCCCTGGGGGCATCTGCTCTCCAGGGAGAGGGGATGCGAGAAAGGAGGAGTGGCCAGCACAGTGTGGCACATGTAGAAATCCCCACAGGGGCTGGGGGGAATTAATCTGGTGAAGCATGATTGAGTTATCCTCTGTTAGTTTATTCTTTTAAGACCCCAGAAAATGTCAGTAGAAGAGATGAAGATTTCATTGACTCTCAATGCCTTATTTTAAAGCAACAGTGAATTCATGTGCCTCTGGATGAGCACTGTGTCAAAGTTCTTGTTGTGCAGTCATGTTGTTCTTCTCGAGATCCAACACACCAAGAATACAGCTGCTGTGGTGTGGGGGTAAATCAGGGCTTATCCTGTGGGCTATAGGACCCTTTGCTTGTTGCAAAACTGGGAAAGTGTTAGGAAAAGAAGGCAAGTTGTGGGAAGGGAAAGATTGAGGTGACTTGATGCCACCCTGGAGAGCCACATATTATTCTTGCCTCTGCTACAGAACTCCCTCTGATGGGAGGAACTCTGATGGCTGGTGAGTCCCGTACACCAGGTATTTCACTGTTGATTTCTAACGTGTTCCTCATTTCCTGGTACCTGGCTGGAGACCCTGCTACTTGAATTGCTTAAGGCTGAGCAGTTGCACTACAACCGGAGTCAGTGCAATTCTTGCTCTGAACATGCAAGTCATCCTTGTAATAACTTTGCTGGGGAAAAAAAGGAAGGAGGAACAAAAAAAGGAAAAGCAATAACAAGGGAAAACCCAAACAGCAAAACAAAGCAGGGACCAGGTGTCTCAGACTGGGTGCCTAAAACTAATGGATCTATTTAATCTTCATAAACCCCTTCACCGTACAGGATCTTGTGCAAATGAATTCCTGAATGTCTGTGAAGCACTTGGATGCTAGAATGATGAGTTTCATAGGAAAGCAGATGAGGACATTAATATTTCTGTTTGTTGCAGGACTAGGACAGTGGACAGGAAAAAGGTAGTCAGCTGCATACTGAAAAATGAGGAGAAAACAAAATAGGAGGCAGGTGCTCACTCATGCACAGGCAGCCTCACTGCTGTTTACGTATGGGTTTTGTTCCACACTTACTTATGGTGTTTATTTGCCTTGATGGCCAGCACACAATTCCTAGCTGATCCTATGCTGCATCTCTGCCACAGAGCTGGTAGACTAGGGACAAACCTCATAATCCTGTGAGGTATTAGTGGGATCATGGGGGTAGAATAACAAAGGAACACCAGCTGATGGATGCTTGGCCAGTCTTGATGCACCAAGATGCAAGCAAAAAGCTCCTGTTTGTTTTGCAGAAGCTGTGAGGTTTGAGGTGATTCAACAGAGGACAAAGGGGCTGTGAACACTTGAGAAACCCATGAAACTGCTTTCCAGCCCTGGGTGCAAGTGCCAGGGGAAAAAAGAAACTTGAGCTCTAATGATTTCAGCTTGCCAGTATGGAGCATTGCAGGTCTTCAGCATCTCACCTGGTCTGCTGCAATCCAGACAGTGATTCCCCTTCCTAGACAGGCAGGAGATGCTGCCAGGGCTTCTCTGCCTGGAGAAGCA